GCATTTACAAAATTTATCAAGGTTACCAGCGCAAATAGAAAGTAATAATAATGGATGTTTTTCAAACTTTATATGATTTCATTGATGATAGAATAGTGTATAGAAGAAAATTATAACAAAATATTAAATAAATTATAGGAAGAAGAATAATTAAGGGAATAACAGTTGATAATAACAGTTGATAATAAGATGGTCAATTTACAATACGAACAAATTGCATTTTTTTTATAATTTAATTCTTCAAAAATTAATAAGCGATTTTAATCGTTATTTATCCTTAAACAGAAAGGTTTTTAAACATAATTTTACAAATTCATTTAAAATATACACAACTAAAAAACCATTAAACTAATAGTCATCTTTGGGGATACCAAAAACATAAAGTGTAAAATTAAATCAGTTTCTCAATATTTTAAATGTATCGAGAATATTATCTTTTTTTGAAATTATATTATACTATTATGATATAATTTCATAAAAAAAGAAAATAAATCCGATGAAAGGATCCAAAATAATGGAACCTTATCAAAACTTGAATTCTTGCAAAATTCCGTAGACAAAATTCCGTAAATTTTTTCAAAAGATATCGATATTGAGTTGCGTTACAAAACTAAAAAAAATTTTTTCAAAAGATATCGCTCAAATTGCCGAGGTCTTCAAAAGTGATGCAGGAAAACAACCATGATATTCTTTAGCAACTTTACTCTTAAAAGCTTTGGTAACTTCGAAAGAAAAAACAACTTTAAAACTATTTACTTTTAATATAATTATAATATCTAATATTATTATGATGTCATATGATATTTAATATCACTATAATATTTAATATCACTATGATATTTAATATCATAATGACATTTAATATCAATATGAACAAAAATTTAAATGTTGTTTAATATGCAATGATGACTTAAATTGTATTGAAAAGCAACATGGAACATGTTTACGCTGACTAACAGCTGTTTTCATAATATTAATAATACGAGGAATAATATTTTGTTTAGAATTTTTTTCGCCGTATCGCTTAAATTGCCGAGATCTTCAAAAATGATGCAGGAAAACAGCCATTATATTCTTTAGCTAAGTTACAAGTTTTTTAAGTTACTGGATTACTAAGTTACTGCGTTGCAAAGTTACTGGGTACTTAAGTTTGTCAACAGTATATAGATATGAATGTTATAGGAACCAGCAGAGAAATGTACACATCAACTGACACTATCAGAGCATTTATATATCAATCCGTGATAGGAATAAAAACTATAAATATTATCAGGCTTTAAAAATCGTCGATTTTTAAAACATCTTTTACCCAACCGGCACATCTAATATTGTAAATAGCCGGAGTATTTACCACATATAAACTGGTATTGATACTAGAAAAATGCGCATATACTTTTAAGTTTTTAAATTCGAGTTTATTTTTCAATAATAAAAAATACGAATAATCGTGCCCAGTTGCTCTATTTGATACACCATATCGTAATGATGCTAATGTAACTTTCATATTCAATGAAATTTTAAAAACTTGTCTGCTTGTGTACTCAAAATTATTTTCGGAAATAACATCCTCATGGCCAGTTTTCTCAATATTATCAATTAGTACTTTGGTTTTGTTTTTTTTGAGGATGAAAAGATAGGTATTTTATTTGTGACTTCTCTTTTCCAGTTTCCTTTCTTTTGTAGTTTTTTCTTGTCTATTAGCTTTTGTAAAGTCTTGAGCACTCATTTGCATATTACTTTTTGTTCAAATACTATTATTTGTCCCATAAGATTTCATAAACTAAAGTTCTGCTATGGGAATTTTGTTTTCTTTCTTGCGTTGACAAGAAATATGAGCTCTAAAAACACAAGAACTACAACTTGTCTCCTCACAAGAAACAATGTCACACTTGTATTTTGCTATATCAAATAGCTTTTCCAGAGTAGAGTTGAACTTAAAAATGGTCTCAGGGTTACTCCTGAAGTTAACAAGAAGCCATACTCTAACATACACTAATTACTTTATACCAACTTTTTGTTCGTCACAATGGGAATTTCAGGATTCGCTTTCAACCATTGTATTTTCACTTAAAAGAAATTTAAAATTTTTTGCATTTTTACTTAGGTTTTGCATTTGCCTTACAGTTTTCAAGTCTTCCTAGAAGCAGATCTATTTAAAAATATCTCCTAGTTTGGTAACTTCCCAGCCAATGTTCTATAGCGGAATTTCAGTGGACATACATAGGCATTTTAAGCGGTCCACTATAGTTTTGCTTACAGCTATGTTCGGCTTGCTACTTATAGCGAATGCCACTAATGGTCCACTCAGTAACAAATGAGCAAAACTCCAATGAACCGCTCAAAACGCCTATAAAGGTCCACTGAAAATCAACTACACAAATCATAACACTTAGTTTGCAACTTTGACTATTTTTACGTGTTCGTTTAACCATCAATAAAGAGCTCAAAGTTAACAATAGTTTGTAAACAATACCCAACGGGCATTTTTTTTTAAAAGTTACGTTCTAAATGTCTTTTAAACGTTTTTTACGTAAGAATGTTTAAAAGACGTTTAAAAGACATTTAAAATACATTTAGAACGTAAAAACAAATGCCGGTAGGGTACTTTTCGTGGGTTTAACGTGTCAATTCAAATGCAGCATGAACAATATTTCCTGTTGTTTCAAATTATTAAATAAATTCAAGCTTAAAAAAAATATTTTTTCGTTACATAGGATATTTCGTAACAACACAAGATATTTCGTAACAACACAAGATATTACAGCAAAATATATCAAAAATAACGGCTTTTGTAAATTTATAAGTTTTTAAGCTAAAATGACTATCCAGGTGTCTAATAATGGGTATTTGGAATCGAGAATTCGATTGAAGATGTTATTGAGTCAATTAGAATAACCGGTTAATGTTGCGGCAAACCGCGTATACCGCATTTTTTTTACCCCAAACCTCAATTTTTGAGGGCAAAATTTGTAAAACCTAAAAATTAAAAATTTTCAATTTTTTTCGCGTTACTTTTATATAAGAGCCAACACATTTGAAATTCATATAGCCTAAGGATTTATTATAAAAAGTTGAAAAATGACCCTACAGTAATAGTAGATGCACTCTACTATTACTATTACACATACTCGTCGTCTTCGGGCGGCTACAGTGTATTAATATCACACTTAGACAGTCGTGTCACTAATAATTTAATTTAAAAGAAGCCAATTTTCTAATTGTGCTTTAAAACTGTTTACTGATTTTGCATTAACCACTTCTCTTGGTAGTTTATTCCATGTTTTTGTTATTCTTTTAGTAAAGAATGAGTGTCTTAAGTTGTACTTTGTTTTTTCGCGTTCAAACCTGACACTGTTTCTTCTCGATAATTGAAAATCATTTGGCTTGAAACCGTTTATAAAGTCCACATTTTCCATCTTGTTTAATAACTTATAAGTCTGGATCAAATCTCCACGAATTCTGCGTTCATATAAGGGGTGAGGCCAAGAATCTCAAGTCTTTCATTTTTGCCAGAGTCGGATTGAGTCTCGTAGCCCTGTGTTGAGCTTTCTCAAGCATTTCTATTTCTCCTTTAAGCTGAGGGGACCACACTGGAATCGCGAATTCAATTAATGGGCGAAAAAACGTCACGTATAAGACTTTAGGAGTCTGCACATCCAGTTCCACAAATGTGTTTTTAATCATTTCCAGCATTTTATTTGCCTTCGAGCTGCAAGATATAATTTGCTGTCTCCATTTCATGTTTGCCGAGAATAATACGCCTAAATCTTTCTGAAAAGCGGTTTGTCCTAGGATAACATTAGCCATAGAACATTCGTGTTTTGGATTTTTGCTGCCATAGTGTATTATTTCGCATTTTTCTTTATTTAATCTCACTAACCATTCTTTAGACCACTCGCAAGCACTGTTTATATCTCGTTGAAGACTGTTTATTTTCTCTATTGAGTTCACATCGATCATTATTTTCGTGTCGTCTGCATAGAGCTTGGTTATATTTTGTATTCTGTCCGGCAGGTCATTTATGAACACAACAAACAAGATCTGGCCAATTACCGACAGTGCAATCGATAGAATATAAACGCGTGATTAGATTACAATTGCGCTGTTCCAATTCGGACAATCCTCTCCTACAAGATTTCCGCATCATTAGTAACCTGTATTTTAGAACATTTTGATTTGGGTACGCTGGTCTACGAGTCTAACTAGTTTAAAAGCTTTTCTAAAGAACTTTAGATAAAAATTTTGTTAGGGGGCATCCATTAAGTGCGTACGCAATAAAACCACTGATTTAGGATCCCTTACCCTTGTACGCAACTGTTTGCTTTCAACGATTGCCCTCCACCACCTCTCTGCGTACGTACGCATCATTTATTACAAAACTAACTCCATACGCATAAATTTTTCAAAACAATAAAAACAAAAAAAGGTAATTCGACGCATCTATGCTTAATAACGTAATATCGATTTCAGTTTTTAATATTGAACTTTACATTATGTGAAATTTTACATACATTTAAATTGAGATTTTTTTAATCAAAAATCTTTAAAAAAAATTTAAAAGAAAAATCTAAAAAAGTTTATCTGAAAAAAAAATTGCTTAATAATTTGGTTCAGAGAGTTTAAAAACGAAAAGACGCATAGTTTGTTTAAAATTTACAAGTTAGGTGAGGTATTATGCGCCTTTGTATCATTTTTTTCCCTTTTCTTTCCCGTTTCCATAGAAAAACGGATGAATGGAAACTGACCTTTATGGAAACGTCTGTCAAATATTATTTATTTTTAATTTATACTTTATTGTTTTAAACATGTAAAGTTCTTTGCATTTAAACGTCTATTGAAATACTATTCTTTTAACAACTTTTGCTAAAATAATTTAAATAAGGTACATACTTAATAACAAAACACATAGAGTACCCCGCCCTTGACTTGAATATATTAAAAATTTTTAAAAATCTTTTTTTAATATTTAAATATTATAATTAAGCATCAAATAAATTTACCTTTTAGTCTATTTTGATTTTATTTTTTAATTTTGTATAAAACTCTAAAATATAAAATTTATAACAAATTTAAAACAACCAAACACTCTGGTTCCGAAAAATAAAAATAATAAAATTAAACAATAACAAAATAATTAAAAACTCACACAAGATAATATATACTAAAACTTTGAAACAATACTTGAAAAAAACAAACAACAACTGTGCAAAATAAAAAATTTCTTATTTTTCAAATAATAGAAAAAATAAATTTAAAATTAATGAAAATAAAATAGCAGCTATAAATAAAAATATTTTTTAAAAAGTTTATTCTATTCCATATATTTTACAATAAAGATAAAAAATAGACATGTGATTTATATAAACATGAATAAATATCCCAGTGAACACAAGTGTATATATATATATATATATATATATATATATATATATATATATATATATATATATATATATATATATATATATATATATATATATATATATATATATATATATATATATATATATATATATATATATATATATATATATATATATATATATATATATATATATATATATATATATATGTAAATATATATACACACACACACACACACACATATATATATATATTAAAATTTTAACCAGCCAAATAAATATAAGTACAAACTTTGCTTAATATAGATTTATATAGATAATAACATAGGTATTTACAAATATGTGGAAAAATTTACAAAGTTATTTAAAAAAAATACAAAATCAGAACTTTATTGAAATTTAACAGCAAACCTTTACAACAGCAAATCGAGATTATTCTAAAAGTCATACTTTAATGTCCATGTTTTAATTGAGATTCAATTTTTTTATTTTTAAAAATTAGATACTTTAAAATTTTAAAAATTATAAAAATTTTCCTAAAAAGTAAGCTATCGGTATAAGTAACAGAGCAGCAATCAATCCAACCCATGCGCTTTCGATACGCTTCGTATTCAGATCTATTTTTTCCATGAAAGTCTGCACTTGGTGTTCCAACCTTTTGTGAGAATCTTCCACATTCATAGGAACAATATTGTGTTCTGAGAGAAAAAAATTTCACATAAACAATTAAAAAAAATAATCTTGAAGTAAAAATTGGCCATTAGTTTGAGTGGTTAACTAAAATTCTGATTGAAACTTCATGTGAAACTTATAAAACAATTATTTTTATGGTTGATTGTTTAAATAGTTGGTTGCCTCCCTGCAGATTTTCAGGCTGAAGGACTAAGATTTTAAACATAAAAAATAAATAAAAAGTATTTAAAACTCTTTCATCAAAAAAACTAAGTTCAATTTAAAATCAATTTACCTTTTTCATTATCTTTATAGCAGTTATAATCAAACACTTTGTGTATATCTTCAATTAATTGTTCATTTTGCTTTATTTCATTAGACAACTCAAGAATGCGTGCATGTTGATTGTCTAAAATAAACTTAAATTTAACTTTTATTTATTACCTGTTAAATATCAAAGTGACGAACTTTTTTTTAAAGAAATAAGAAAAACTGAAATTTTTGAATGATTGTTCATTTTCATTTTTTGCCTTGCTTATTTTTTCAATACTAAAACAAAAATCTATTCAAAATCAAATTTTTATGCATACCTATTGAAACAATTCGCTCGTCAAGGTTTTTTATCTTACACTCAAGATTTTTTATGACATCCATTATAATTTGCTGATCAGTCTGTTCCGAAAAATCTTCCGATGAAAAATAACACTTTTTTAATAATGGCAAATAGCTACTTGTATTATTATTGTTATTATCATTATTATAATTTTCATCATAGTCAATTTTTTCAAAATGGTTTTTATTTTCGATATTTTCCTTTTTGCAGGAGAAAGCGTAGTTTATTCGACATATTTCCTCATCCGTGTTTATACTTTGAAATAATTCTACATCTAGAGTCGATGTATCATCTTGCTTGAACTTTTTTTCTAAACAATTTAGCAACAATAATAAATAAATCAAAAATTAATATAAAATAAATAAGTTTTAATATACAAAATATAAAAATAATAAAATAAATATAATAAAATATGATCACTCCTGGTGCTATGTAGAATTCGCTTTTGTAGGCAAGGGTTAGGATAATTTATCTCTGAAATACCTCCTGGCTTAGGGCTCTTTAACGAGTAAAGGCTATAGAAAATGTGTTAATAAAAATACTCATCTTGGGCAGATGTTAACTGTATTCAGCTACTGCCTTGTATAAAACCTTTTAGGCAAAGACTTTAGAAACAAAAAATTTCTGTTGACCAGCCTCCCATTCCTTCTTTATCTAATAGGTTGGTGTAGATTTAAAGCTTTTACACTATTTCCTGCCTAGAGTGATGAATGCTGAATCTTCTTGACTCGACTCATAGAATTTTGTTTGTACCTCTATGTTAGTGGCTAAGCAACTCTTTCTGTTATCTTCTAATAAGTGTGCGCTCTAAAACTCAACTTAATGATTCTGAGGCCAACTAGTAGTAAGTTTTCCCAAACTCTTTCTTTAAGTGTTGATGGTTAACCTTTGATTCACAAAAACTTTAATAATCACATACCTTTCATGCGCATATACTTAAATTTCAATTCATTTTTTTTTGAAAAATCAGGTTTGTACGCTTTTTATGCGTTTTTGTTTAGAACCTTTTTACTCAATCACCTTTTTTTTGTTCTTTGTTATTCTCGTTTTTTCCAAGATTGCACTATTTTAATATTTTTCAGATCAAATTGACCTTTCTCAAATAGGTCAATTTGATCAGAAAAATATTAAAATAGTGTAAAAACAAAATCTTTATCTCAAAAAAACCCTTCTTCTTCTCTCAAAAAAACTCTCAGCCAATATTGTTGTTATTGGTAAATTTAATGGTCAGCAAACTAAATGACTTGACTCTAGTAAAACTGATCCAGCTAGATCTTAAGCTCAAAACTTTTATCTTTTTCAATCTCGTATTCATATAGTTAACTTAATGAATTGTTTTCCAACAACCCTAATCACTTGCCTTCACTCCTTGACATCTTGTCTCTGACTATAGCTTATACTCAGTTTCTTCTTGTTAATTTTTTGGTAGTTCAGATTCACCCTATCATTTTTTATCAAATTTTACTACAACCTTAAAGATGTCTAAGATTTTTTTGCAATTTTCTTTATGATGGTTTTTGGGTCGATGTCTTGCTCCCCTCTGTCAAAAATTTTGCTTCCCTTATAATCTTCTGGATTCAGACGAAGGACTTACTTTTATTGCTCTTTTTTATTACTTCTCATTAAATTCAAATCAAGTTTCGTTATACCCATGGAATAGTAAGATTTATATAAACACATGGTTTTCTTCATCTTGTGCAGCTGCAATTTTTTAATCACAATCATTTTTTCATCTTTTTTTCAAAAAAACTCTCTGGATAACAAATTTCGTTTAATCATTACAAACAATTTATGCAAAAGAGGTATCGTCTAAAGTCCATTATCTCAGATTATATCGCTAAAGATCATTATCTCAGATTACTAAACCTTGTATTTTATCTCAGAAACAGAAAATAGGTTCAAGTAATTTTTAAGAAATCTTTAACAATGTCATTAACAAGTCTAACAATCTCATAGATTGATCAGATTTTTTTACCTTCCCAAAGATAAGCCAGAACCATTTGCAAAAAACTTTTCAAAAAAATATGTAAAAAGATTTGTAAATATGTATAAAAAAAATTTCTCAACAATGTTATTAACATTTTTAAGAAATTATTTCATCTCTCACGAGTCTGATCTTATTGGCATTTCCAAGAAAAAGACAATTTGCAAAAATCAATTAACTTTTCTCTTGAAACTGATGGTAACACTTTTCCTATCATCCCAAAGAAACAGGTTAAAGAAAAAAGTTAATTCACTGTTAGATATCCTAATTACTGACAATGACTTTCATATTTCACTTTCAAAAATTTCAAAGAATAAAACTGATGAGAGCTTCAGGAAGAAAAAAAAACAACAACTTGTGTTTTAATTATGTCTAATGTTTATGTTAATTTAGGCATAACTAAGTCTATTTACATAAGAACTATTTTATTTATATTATATGATCAAGTTAATGCTATAATAAATTAAATGTTAAAGTGTTTGAACATAAGGCCAAATAAAATAACTTCAACAAAGTTCAAATTTCTATAAAGTACCTAATCTTTTTTTGATTGTTAAAAAAAGTCTGCATGCTGCATGTTGCATGCTGCATGATTAATGTTAACATTAAATAACATTAAACATTAAAATTGTCTAGTTTGGTTATTTAAAACATGCTGGGGAAAGTAAAAAATATTTAAAGATAAAAAAATTATTTTTCATTATTTTTACTTTTTAAGATTAACAATAATTTAAACTAATTCTTTTTTAAAGCAACTTAACTTAAAAACGTTAAATTATTGATGATGCATCCAGTCTGGGTCAAATAACTTTGTCTCCTATAATTTAAACAGTTTTTTTATAATTAAAAACCAAATACTCTCAGATATTTAACGCATGGGAGAAGACATTCATTAACTTTTTAAGAAATTTTCCCACCAATCCAAAGCTTATTAGGACCCTCCCTTTACTAATTTTTAATAGTTATTAACAAAGAAACTAATTCTCAAAATTAAAAAAAAATTCAAAGTAAAATAGTCTTAAATATTAGAAAGCATCAACTGACTGATAAAAAACAAGCTCATAAACTTGGAAACCTCACATGCATAATATAAAACCTCACCATCTATTTCCCTACCAAATATAGGGACAAATTTACCTATAGGCTACCTAGACTGCAGCTTAGGGCTTCACAATTTTCAGGACCCCAAAATGAGTTCTGTTTAATGTGTGCTAGGGTTATTAGGGAGTTATTAAAAATTACTACTTAAATAATTGTAATGATTGCAACAACAATAATCCCTCTGAACAATTATCACCATTTTTTAAAGTTTTATTTGCATAATCATTAACAGTTGCAACACTAAATCCTTGGAGATTAATTCTAAAACAAATCAATTCAAAAGCTGTAGCACTAAACAAAAGAACTGAAAAATCAGGCAATAGTAAAAAAGCAAAAGCAAACAGACAAAAAGTTTAATACTATATATAATATATAATGGTTTTTCATTCAAAATATTTTTTTAAATATAACATAAGAATATAAAATCTATACTGCATTTAACCTATGTTAAACTTTTTTTTAGTTATGATAAAACAGCTGTTACAAAATGCAAATTTTGGCCACACACCACACACCTTTCTATTAAAACAAACCCCCGTTTATAAGATTAGAGAACATATTTTAACCCAATTTTTTATTAAGACCCCATAATTTATTAGATCTAGACAAAAATTCTCCCTTCCCCATTTTATTCCCACCCCACTTTGTAATAACTCTTATGCACCTAAATATTTGTAAACAATAAAAATCAACACACTATATTTAAAATGATGAAATAGTGAAAGTAGAAATCATATTTACTCAAAAAAACTATTTTAAAATAATATTTTCTGAAAGAAAAATAAATATATATCATATATCTTTGAAAAGAAAAATTCATATATCAATAAATGCGATATTATGTGAATTATCTTCGATAACAATCGATCTTCCAGATATTCTCACATCTAAGGTGGCATTATTCGCTGACGACACTACCATTTACTCTTGTCATGATAAAAAGCCTACACTCTCTGATTGCTTGGAGGGGGTATCTGAGCTTGAAAAGGATCTCACTTCTGCTACAGCATGGGGCTCACAGTGGCTGGTGAACTTTAATTCAGATAAAACTCAATTTTATTCGGCCAATCGTTATCGTAATAATTTAGATCTTCCTATATTTATGAATGGTAATGTACTAGATGAGTCATCTACCATTCATCTTCTAGGATTAACTCTTACTTCTGATCTTTCTTTTAAACCGTATATCAAATCCATTGCAAAATTAGCATCTGCTAAGGTTGCATCTCTTTATCGAGCTCGACACTTTCTTACTCCAGATTCTATTCTCTATCTCTATAAATCTCAAATCCGTCCCTGTATGGAATACTGTTGCCACATCTGGGGCGGATCTTCTAATGATGCTCTTTCTCTTTTAGACAAGGTGCAAAAACGAATTGTAAACATAGTTGGACCTGCTCTGGCAGCCAATCTCCAACCTTTGTCACATCGTCGTAATGTTGCTTCTCTTTCTCTTTTCTACAAATACTATAATGGGCACTGCTCTAAAGAGCTAGCGTCCCTTGTACCATCTACTAAAATTCATTCTCGTGTTACTCGCCATTCAATTAAGTCTCATCCTTTTTCTGTGACTGTTCCTAAGTGCTTCAAAAACTCTTATTCTTCTAGTTTTTTTCCTCGAACATCAGTTCTTTGGAACTCGCTTCCTTCATCTTGCTTTCCTGATTCATATAATTTGCAATCTTTTAAGTCATCAGTCAATCGTTATCTTGCTCTACAGATTTAGTCTTTTCTCTTCCAGTAACTTCCAACTCTTATAGTGGTTGCTTGCAGCCTTGTTGGAAGTGAAAATGTTAAAAAAAAAAAAAAAAAAAAAAAAAATAATTAAAAAGAAAAAAAAATTTAAGATTATTTGAAAAATTCAACTTTGTGATTTTCTAAAAAAATCAAAACTTAAAACTATCAGAATTTGACAAAGAAAATAGATACAATTAGAGCGCGTCTAAAAATCTGCAAAATTTTAAAAATGATCAATGACTTTTTCCTGTTTCTGATCATGCTTTTAAGAACCTATTACACTAAACAGTATGTACATAATTTATCTCTTATTTTTTACCTTTTTAAGAATTAAAATGTTATAATTTCAAAAAAAAAAAAAACATTTATTAGGAAAACTTTCATTTAATTGTGCGTATATTTAATACATATTTTATATTTAACCTCTATCTTTTACCCCATATATTTAAATACATTATTAGGAGACTTCCCCCTCCCCTTATGAAACT